ACAGTCAGTAGAGCTTACCTGCCAGGATACTGGTGTGACAGTCAGTAGAGCTTACCTGCCAGGATACTGGTGTGACAGAAGGCTCTGACACATTAGTCGGTCAGTCCAGTCAGTAGATCTTACCTGCCAGGGTACTGGTGTGATGGTCAGTAGATCTTACCTGCCAGGGTATTGGTGTGATGGTCAGTAGATCTTACCTGCCAGGGTACTGGTGTGATGGTCAGTAGATCTTACCTGCCAGGGTATTGGTGTGATGGTCAGTAGAGCTTACCTGCCAGGGTACTGGTGTGACAGTCAGTAGAGCTTACCTGCCAGGGTACTGGTGTGACGGTCAGTACAGCTTACCTGCCAGGGTACTGGTGTGACGGTCAGTACAGCTTACCTGCCAGGGTACTGGTGTGACGGAAGGCGCGGACCTGGGAGTCAGTCAGTCCGGTCAGAAGAGAGATGATATTGTCCATCATGTACTGGTCATAGATGATACTGTACTGACACTGTCGAACAAGCACCTGCACAAACTCACAGAAATTCACCCGGAACCGCTTCCAGTTGGGGCCTGACATAATCAGAGGGTAGTCTCCACTGTCCTGAAGGATAGTTATCACAAAATTACAAACGTTATACATGCAGGTCAATGTACAGTGTTTATTTCCATGTAGGTTTCTCAGATAAAATTTTCCAAAGTTTATGAAATGTGGAATATGTGAAAGCATACTCATAACAACATGTTATACTTCAAGAACATTTCAATTTTGATTCAGGGACAAAAAAACATGAAAAGAAGTGAAAATGAACTAAAATCATCGAATGATGAAACCAGAACTGATAACTGAAGAAAATGATAGAGAGTTGAAAACCTCGTCAAATTCCTCTGTCATTTTACGAATGATCTCAGCATGTTCTTGGTTAGCATACATAAACGGAGTTATGGTTCCTTTACAGCCTGAGGCCTGGATAAAAAACTGAATGAGTTCCACCAGGGCTGTGTCACGGTCATTCTTGTAGGATTCAATCCATTCGTCAACTGTGTTCTACAAACAGCAGATAAAAGTTTTAACTAACTTTTGTATTAGTCAGAGCAAACTGACAATACTTTATTTTACTCCATGTCGAACAGAATTTATTTCTGTCCTCCAGATGTTTTGTCATTTACAAATCAAGGAAGTAATGATAAAGTGACAACAAAATCTTTTGTGTGCCTATTACTTCTGATTTAGAGTGAATCCGAACTAAAATTATTTCACTTTATTTCATGAATGCCAACCTATCATTCCATCCCTTTACATGTACATTTACCTGCAGTGTTGCCTTTCCACTCTTCACGATGTCAAACAGCGAGCCTGTCCCTGTGTCTTCGTCATCCCCACTCTTTTTTCTGCTCCGCCCTGAAGCTCCAGTTTGTCTGGGTCGCTTTACAGCCTGAAAATTTCAAAAAATTATTTAAATAGCATTGCTTCTTCTTCATGAAAACCAATGGAAAGAAATCATTACTTTGTACAACATGTACAATTCCACATTGTTTTTTTTTTCCCATACTTACGCTGCCCCCTCGGCCGGACCCCCTTTTCCTCCCTCTACCACTGCCGGCCCCAGATACTGACATGGGCTCCTCAAAGTCACTGTCAGAGTCATTTTCTGGTCTGAAAGTAATTCAATATGATTAGGTTAACTAACAACTGACTAACTACATTAAAAAATTCTTATAAATATTTTAGACATAAACGTTCTACAGAAATGTAAAGAATAGATAATTCTGAATTAAGATTAATTGAACTCCATTCAAAGGACAAAAAACAATTATGCCTTAGACAAAAACCTAAACATTTACAACATATTATAATTAACTATTGCCCCTTCTAAATTAATTCTGAATTTCAACAAAATTCTTACATTGGCAAATCTGATGTGGCCTCTACAAATGCCCCCTGTACACTAGACTTTGCTTTGGTCTTTGCCTTCCTTGCACCCCGCATTCTACAAAGAAATGAAAATACTGATTTTTTTCGTCATACAAGTACAGTAGCCTTTCGCACTTTTTGACAACATTGTATTTTCTTGGAATAATAGTTAACATTGTCAAATTCAGGCAAAAATAAAATTTTGCAGCATTTTGACCGACAAAAATTTATACTAAGTTACTTAATGTCTGCACTGTTTGTATTGTTCAGCTAAAAGAATATTTTCCAATCTGATATAGCTGTGACAGATTAAAAGGTTTATTTACGTTTTCATAATTATTACATTTCGATCCCGATGTGAAAATTAAAAAAAAACGTTTTATTTGGAAACGCCCACTTTTATCTTTTGGCCAATAAGGTTTTTGACAGTTTCTTTTGTTCCTTTTTCATATATAAAGCTATGTAACTATTAGATCGGGGAGGGAGACAGCTGGTTTCGCTAGCTAAACTCTTCATATACTGGAATCGTTGGCAAGTATGCATACAAGTACAGCACTTTTTTGCACAAAAATAAAATTTATCGTCTGTCTTAATTAAATTATATTACTACTTAGGTTAGACTATATTTGGGTTAAGTTAGACCATATTTGGGTTGGGGAAATAAGGTCTGCATATTGTGTACTATTATAACGTACTTTAAGATTGGTAATAAATTGTAGTCTTGTTAATCTTATTTTCTTTTATAGTTCATTACAATTTACAAATATTTCCAAGGTATAATCTAATGTAGAGGTCTTATATTCAGAAAGTCGTCTCAAAACAAAAATAAACACAACGCGAAGTACAGGCTATATGAACACCAGACCTGCTACATAGCTAAGGACATTCGGAAAGTACCGTTAAACCAAAAATTGATTAATTATTCAAATAAAATTTTTATTAAAAGACATATAAGAAAAGGTAAACTCAAAATCGGTCCACGAAGCATTTGTCATGTAATTATTCCATTTTCGATACTCTGCTGAAATCGGTGAAGTGATGCAGATGTATTTTGTGTAATAATTCACATACAATGTATTCGCTTTGGAAAAAAATACTTAAACAGCACTTTCATTGGCAAAAGAAAGGAATAATTCTTTCAAAATAATGTTTGTAAGTGCCATAATTGAATAAAAATTACCTGAAATTATTCTTTGTTTGGCGGGAAGCTATCTGATGCAGCTTGCCGGAAGTAAACAATTTGTCACGTGACTTGAAATATATATGAGTTGAAAAACATTCCGTGTATTGTTTCCGGAATAATCCAAGAAGTTGATGCAACACTGAAGCCCTCGTATCGCAGCTTTTGACAAAGGTTGAAGTTTCAAGTCAAATTCCAAAGTCAAGAGATAAAACATATTGCTTCCCAAAGAAAGAACTTGTCTCATCAAATATATACTTGTACATGTGAAATGTGAAAGCTAAAGCACTTAAATTCATAATTGATTGGCCAGTGGCCTTTTTTTTTTAATGTAGGTCAAAATCAAAGTCAGAGGGACAAGGTATACAGAGGAAGACCTCTTATAAGAAACACATGTGAGAAATATCAAAGCCCTAGCACCAAGTGTTCAAAAAGTATATGCTAAGGTTTAAGTTTTTCAAAAGTAGGTCAAACTCCTGGGTCAAGGTCAAAGAAGAAGGCCTTGTCATAAGGAATAAATCTGTGAAATATAAAGACTCTGGTACTTACTGTTCAAAAGTTATGCTCAATGTTAATTTTTTTTCAATTTACGAAATGGATCGGTGCTGTAGAGAAATTCTACCACCATAGTCAGGTTTCTCATTGGAATCTGTATTGTTGGATATTCCCTTGGCGCAGTGGTACATGTTTGATCACAAAATACAAATAAGACCACATTTACTGATTGATAAATAATTAAAAAGTCCCATATTATTTTATTATCTGGGTACCCCAGAATTTGCAGAGTTATTAAATGCAGGCGCGGATCCAGGATTTTTTTTCCAAGGGGGGGGGGGGGTCCATCACAGTCAATTAAAAAAAAGAATCAACCTCGAAATTTCTGTATACTTACACACTTTCCCAAACGTGAAAACCCTATTTCTATGGTGGGGTGGGGGGTCGTTCGCTATACTTCATGACTTTGAACATATTTTAAGTTTTTTTGCTGGTTTAATATATAAACATTTAATAACTTTGCAAATTTCGGGGGGGGGGGGGGGGGACTCTACAGCCGCTCATGAAATGTATGTTGCATTAAATATGTGAAATCAGGAATTTCACTGCATGTATTTCCTAAACCATTCAGTAAAATGTTTTGCTGACCGTTTAAGGAAATAGAAATACATACTAGTAGTATTAAAAAAAATTCTATTGGAAATGCAAATTGATATTTGAAAAAAAAAAAAAGTAAAAACGTGTTTCCTAACTGAAATCAGTAAAAGTGTATTTCCTCAGCAGAGGAGGAATTCCATGTATTTCCAAACATTCAGTAACACATGAAATTCCTGATTACACATATTCACTGTAACATGTATATTCTATCAACTTAAACTGACCTTGACCCCCCTCCCCCCCCGGAAAACACAGACCTTTTTGGAAAACAGTGCCCCGGAAAAAGTCATAGATATGAAGCTTTAGAAGTGAGTGCTTATAACCCCCATCCCCTCCCAGTCCCCACACATACACGTACGAAATAGGTTTTTCACATTCACGTTCAATTTTTGTTAAGATTGAGTGTATTATTTTACAGTATGTATAATAACCTTTAAAGATTTTATTTGCCCTGGTCTTTGAATGTAATCATAGGATATGATGGATACCATCCCGCTAAAAGGTCATTGTACAAGGCCATGGTCACAATTCAGAGACAAAAACTTCAGAAAAACAAAATGTTACAAGACAAAGAATTTTATTGGGCGATTATCATGAGAATGCGAATCATTCATTATGTACACCGTACATTTTGTACAAAGGCGACGGAATAATCCAATGGTGAATCTTATATGCCATAGTTATAGTTATTGCTTATTAGGTCAATGCTTGGACTTTGGGTTGACCCAATATTCGGACTCAGCACAAAATATGCGTTTTAATCCACTGAATGACATTACAATACAGATATTTTATTCAAAATATAAAAAATTATATACATACAATTGTACTTTATACGAAATTCAATAAATACATGGTTGATACATAAATATCTCATCTACAAAAGTCAGTGCTGATAGACACCGTGTGTAAAAGTATTGTACAGATACAATGAATGGATACAGGATATTAACTATTTTTCAGATGGCAGATCCCACGCCTTATAGATCCGCGCCGTTTACTCTCTCCGTTCTGTCCAGAGTCCCTCGCCTTTCAATATGTAAACTCGGGCTTTCCCTCTGGCGGTCCCTTCATGACTTTCTTTACAAATTCTGCAAAGATGAAAAAAACTTTCCGATTTTTTTTCTCGTCGCTATTAAAGAACTTCACCAAGTCGTGGAACAACTAAGAGTAGCATTTGTAGAGAACTGTAAATATGGTTTATGTACAATTTTTCTTTCAAGTCTTGATTTTTTATATTTTTATCAATTTTTTTTTTTTACCTTTGTTCCTTTGTCCCTTATCTTTGACATATGACACCGACATCACTTGCAATGCCTATGTATCTTTGTTATGGTCCTGATGGGTTTCTCTATTGGGTCTTTATGAGCTTTTAATAACGTTGACATGACAAACGATGAAGAAGTCCAATTTCGCTGATATCTTGACCATTGGTATAGACTTACCCTTATATTTAATATATTTCTCTTTACTCGACGATTAACTCCATGTGGAGACACTGATATTGGCATTTGGCCTTGACAGCACTTCCCATTGTATAACCTTGTCATTTATCTCTGAAGAGATAGCTGGCAATGATATTTGATCTAATGATGACTTGAGCAAACTTTACATTTGACCTGTGTATGGACTTCAATATTGACATTTGAACCTGCGAACTAATGGCTTACCATCGTATGTAATGTTCAACCTATATAACCTTGACATTTCATTTATTAGACTGACAATTGACCCCGACCTTGACGTTCCCTCAGATTTAATGTTTCCTCTGTGTATCCTTGACCTTTAACCTTGTATAGAGATATCTCAGTCTCTGACATATAACATGTTGATAATGTGTACTCTGTCTAACCTTGATATTTGACCCTTTAGGTATCTGAGATTGGCATTTGACCCTAGAGATGACCTACCCTCATATTTAATGTTTCCCTCGTAGTCAACATCCAGGTCAATGCTCTGTAAGATATCTTCCAGTTCCTCGTCTGTTAAACGGTCGCCTGTAATGCATGCAATCCACACATTTAACGGTGTTGTTTTGTCATGGGTGGGACAAAACCCATCAACATTTTTGCAATCTTTTAAAATCTGTTGCCATTTGACTAATTTCTTTTGCCATGTCCCTACTTACCCATTGATGTAAGGACGTGTCTCGCCTCCCCCAGGGAGATATAGCCTTGCCCCTCCCTGTCGAAAGATTTGAAAGCCTCCATGAACTCCTTGAACGATCCAGTGTCTCTTTCTTTGACGACTTGTCGGACAATGGATAAAAACTGCTCCATGGTGTACTGTTTCTCTCCTGAAATAAGAAGTAAAGTACATATACATATAGTAAAGTACTGTACATGTATAGTGAGGTTCAAACAGTATTGGAGAATTCTCTCCGTTGTAGTGGACATTTGTGACAAGGGGAGAGGATATCATTGGTAATGGTTCTAATTTAAAATTACTTTCCGGTATTTACATGTCGGAGATTTTTTTACCTCGATTGATAATATCACAAGGTTCATTGATTGATTGAAATATATATTGCACAGATGTATTTATGTGTATAATACTATATCTTTCATATTGAATGTCCCATTTCTTTCCCTGTGTATTCGCCTTTCTCGCAATAAGTACCCATTCTCTTGGTTCCCCCATTTTTGTAGATGAGTGCATTTGTTGGGTTGAATCCACAACATCGAAGTAGGTCTCCCAACTTTACGGCATCGATCAGTCCATCTCGACCATCCCAAAAGTCAAACAAATCGAACACTTCTTTCATATCTGAAAGAGAAAAAATCGAGCAAAAAGCTAACAATTAGCTGAAAGAATAAACAAGTTCGACATATTTTAAAAAAGAAATAGCACACTGCATCTTAAATTTCTTTATTTGTTTACATTAAAGAAATCCTCCCCCCCCCCCGAAAAAAAAAACAAAAAGAAAAAGATTAAGTCATTCAATTTATTTTCTTCATTTAACTAAGAAAAATGATGTACCTTTAAATGAATCCACATAGCTTTTATTTATGCTGTGGATTACAGATGCAGCTGCTGTGTTGAAAGAATTTTAAGTATGTCTGGTATCTGATTATAAACACATAAACTTTTTAAGTTGATTTAAACCTTTCATTTTCCGTCCTGTTGCATGGCAGTATATCAGAGATCTGATTTAGTGCTGAGAATGAGAGTGGTGTAGGAGTCTTATCAGATACCGCGAGGAGGCTAACTGGCCTGTTATGTAATAAGATGAAGAGCTTTCAGACAGAAAGAATCTCCCAGACTGTCAGTTTAATTATTTTGATGAATTAAAATTCATGTCAAGGCGATTTCCTTCTAATTGACGTAATTTTTGGTTTCTTCGTTGTATTTTCAACAAGAAGTTTCAGTTATAATTAAATTAGAATCCATCCCAGCTTCCTTTAAAAATATTTTAAACAATTGAACTTATTTTTTTAGTGGAATTATTGAATAAGAATACACTGAGAGAGAGAGAGAGAGAGAGAGAGAGAGAGAGAGAGAGAGAGAGAGAGAGAGAGAGAGAGAGAAAACATGTTCTCTGTAAACAAATATTTACCAATCAATATAATTTTATGCAAATGGACGAAAGAAGGAAATAATTTTTTCTTTCTTAATCATTTAAAAAAAATAGCTTTACTTTAAAACAAATGATTTTGCTATTAACATAAATCATAAACCCTGTCTTTAAAAAAAAATAGATAATGAGAGTTGTTAAAATTATGTGATCAAGACGGTGATTTTAAAGAGAAGAATTTCTTGTAGGCATCCAGAAAGTCAACTTAACCCTAGGTTAAATAAGCACCCCCACCACGAAGATAAGTAAAACTTTCAGAACTACCTTTACTTCTTTTTAATCTTTTGATTTTCAAAAGCAGACATTTATTTTAGTGCGTCTTGTCTTTTAGATCAAATCCTTCTAAAAAGACTTCATAAGCCCTGTTTACACTGGTATGTTTTAAGATCCCACGAAATCAAAGAACTTTCTGGAGCCTGGTTTTGCTGTAGGTACGTGACTGACCCCCCGGCCCGGGGTCCCTGGTGGCAGGATGCTTAGGTTATCAGACCTTCTCTATCTATTTTTTTTTAAATGAAGAATTACCAGTAACATGTGTTCAGAAGGTTTTAAAAATCGATTCAAAGCGGACGTTTTAATAATGTTATTCTAATTTTGTCTCAGGCGAAACATAGAAATTCGCCCCCCCCCCCCCCCCCACACACACACACAAACGGTAAGCGGGGTTTTCGGGGTGGGGGAGCGTTATTTGTAGAATTATATACTTTATAACAAATAATATTCATTTAAGATATTTATATAATGAAATAAAAATGAAATGCTAAAAATGCATCTTGACTTTCAATGAAATTTTGTATCATTTCTTTCGTTCAATAAACGTTTTTATTAACAAAAAAATTCAGAAAAGCCCTTTATCCCCCCAAACCAAAGCTACTAAGCTTTACTTTTCAACTTCTTTCATAAAAATACTGTTTCAGTTTTTCTCATGCTTCCTTAACTTTCTATGTAATTTTAATGTTTTCATCCAAAAATTATTTATAAACGTTCTTTAACATTAAAACAGAGTGACAATTTGTTTAAATTCTTACCTTCAATGTCAGGGAGATCGGAAGTCATCTTGTATCTGTCCAATATCCTGCCTGGCGAGAGCTCCCCTCCTAACTAACTGTGACGGCGGAGGATAACAAGCTCCTCATGTAGAGAGGGTTCAAGATCGTAAATTACTCAACCAAGTTCAATTTTTCAAACGTTCAAAAAACATCTGCTTTCAAATATCAACACTTAAAAGTCGGACGGCTAGTTCTTACTTCCAAGTGCGTAGAAACCCAGTTACATAAGAGGAAAAAAAAAACGTTTTCTTCAATCTACCCCTAATGTTCTTTCATTCAAGATTTTTATATCTTTTAAAAATTATCCCATTTAATTTTCAAGGTTTATTCGGGGTCCTTTTTTCAGTCAAATTCCTTTTTTTCTTCGTATAATTCATCAACCGCAAAAAATTAAATCCACTAAATATCAAACATTAATTTTATATGTGACTGAAAAATGCATAGTTTTCACTGTTCTTAATTTTGTAAAGTATGCTGACAAATGACTGAAATAAAGAGCTGACTTTGATGTTTCATTTTTATTTATGTCCTATTTTACTTTCTCTTTAAGACAAGGCAAGTCTTTTCTTTTATTATAATTATGCATTGTCAAAATTATGCATTAATTGACCGCATTTCAACAAAGGCACAGCTGTCTGTAGCAGGCCGATGGTACGTGAAGGGGGGTGGGTCACACTTTTTCTGAGAAGTATTTTTTGTGTAGTTGGACCTGTGTTACACGATAACAGATGTATGATTTTGCAATCAGAATAAAGCAAGAAGTTGGGTGGAAGGATATATTAATTTTTATTCATTTTTTTTTAATATCTGGTATCTATAACAGCCACGTAGCATCGTTTTTGAAAGGGGGGCAGCAAGAGAATTTTTGTTACTTAACTGAAAAAGTTGACAAGCAAAAAAAAAAAAAAGGAAAGAAAAGTTGCCCAAAGTCGAAAATCCTATTTCGGGGTGGGTGGGGGGGGGGGGGTGTTAAGAGCAATCTTTTTTTTTCAATGCCAACTTCTTTCATTACCAATTTTTTGACCTGCAATACTACCTTTTCCTAATATCACAAAAAACTGGGGGGCCAACCAACCTTTCAATGAACAATTTCTGTAGTATAAGTAAGGTTGGGAAACAAGAGGCCCAGGGGCCACATCGCTCACCTGAGCAATTGGCTAAGAAAAAGCACACATCAGATCAGAACTGAAAGTTTACCAAGGGGGGGGGGAGGAGGGGGCTTGAATTTTAACCCCCCGGGGGGTCATGATTAGAACAAACTTCAATCTACACTACCTGAGGATGATTCCCTATAAATATTACTAAGCATGGCTTTAAAATACTTGAAAAGAAGATTTTAAAAGTTTTCCCTAGATATTCCTATGTAAAACTTTTATCGGCCATTATGGCCCCACACTACCGCCGGGGGTCATGATTTCAACAAACTTGAATCTACACTACCTAGGGATGATTCCACAGAAGTTTCATCTTTCCTGTCTCAATGGTTCTTGAGAATAAAATTTTTCCTATATATTCCTATGTAAAACATTGATCGGCCATTTTGACCCCACCCTACCCCCGGGGGTCATGATTTGAACAAAATTGAGTCTACACTAACCTGAGGATGATTCCACATGAGTTTCATCTTTCCTGGTCCAGTGGTTCTTGAGAAGAAGATTTTTCCTATATATTACTCTGTAAAACTTTGATCGTCCATTTTGGCCCCATCCTACCCCTAGGGGTCATGATTTGAACAAACTTGAATCTACACTACCTGAGGATGATTCCACATGAGTTTCATCTTTCCTGGCCCAGTGGTTCTTGAGAAGAAGATTTTTAAAGATTTTTCATATATATTCCTATGTACAACATTGATCAGCCATTTTGGCCCCACCCTACCCCCAGGGGTCATGATTTGAACAAACTTGAATCTACACTACCTGAGGATGATTCCACATGAGTTTCATCTTTCCTGGCCCAGTGGTTCTTGAGAAGAAGATTTTTTAAAAATGCCATTAATTTTTCTCTAATTCATTATTATCTCCCCTTGGAAAAGGGCGTGGCCCTTCATTTGAACAAACTTGAATCCCCTTTACCCAAGGATACTTTGTAGCAAGTTTGGTTGAAATTGGCCCAGTGGTTCTTGAGAAGAAGATGAAAATGTGAAAAGTTTACGACAACGACGACGACGCCAACGACGACAACGACAACGACGACAGACAACGGACAAATTTTGATCAGAAAAGCTCACTTGAGCCTTTGGCTCAGGTGAGCTAAAAAGGTGGGGGGAGCCCCCCCCCCCTCCTGTCGTTGCTACGTGCCTGTATAAGCTAAGTAAAGAGCATACTAAGCAATTTGAAAATCAAACATGCAACCGATCAAGTTAATGAGCTCAATATTTTGTGTTCTGTTCGCTATATCCGTAATTCATTATATCCATATAAGGAATTGTTAAATTTGTATAGCTGGGGGATCCAAGATAACTTCCCTATATCTGTGAATTTGTAATATCCGTGTTCGTACTAAACGAGTTTTACTGTATAGCAGACCAGACTGGGATTCGAACCTGGGCCCCCTGAATCTAGGTGCTCCACTGGGCTATCTGGCTACCAGCAATTGAACCCGGCTGACTGCCACAAATTTAACACACATTCCAACAATCAATAGTTTTAATATTTAATAATAATCATATTTCATCAATAAACAATGTACAAGTTAATTTATGAATTGTTTAAACAGTGAAAATCATGACATTGTATAATCATTAATTTCCCTGTTTTTAACAGAAATTGTGAACTAGACATCACAATATTTTACATTTAAAGACTAATAATGTATAAACTTTCAATATTCCTTGCTCATCCTAAAATCCACAATCACATCATTTTCAATGAAAAAGTCTTTGAGTGTCTTTATCACATAGTTTAGTAGTAGAAACATCCAAATGCTGCTGCCACACAAAATATAGAATCCTGAAAAAAAAATGTTTAAGGAATAAATTAATATTGAACAATGGTAGTCATTGTTTACCTTACCTACTTCTTTCATGCCCATCATGCTTAACCAATAATAAAATATTTATAGCCTAACATCAAATTTAACTAGTTGTTTAAACCAATAAGATTTATGCATTGTATTAATCAATAAAATTTATGCATTATACTGATCAGAATTCAGAAACACTCAAGTATTATGCATATATTATCCAATGAGATTTAGGGATATCGTAAAGAGTATCCCCTTAGAAATAGTACAATTTTTTCTATTATCCTTGGACTTTCAGTAAGGCTTGGCATTCTTGATGTTACATAATTAGCGTCTGAAATTTACACAGCCTTTCATTCACTGTTGAAATAAACATAGGAATAGAAATCTGGGCGAACATCAGCATGATCCAATGACAGCATTTCCCACGACAAAGAGGTGGGGCTCAGGTCTGTCTCATTGTTGTCAACAACAATTTAATTTCAGCTGCTAATGTTATTAATTTCTAAACAAATGAGAATCTATGCTGCCATTTGAGAGACATCAATTACATAGCTTCAAGAAAACCACTCTTACTGAAAGTCCAAGGATGACAGAGAATTGTATTATATCCTGATTCATTGTTCATGTGATGTCTGACTTACATTCATAAATATATCCTGAGCATAGCTGTCTGTGTCTGAGTCCCAGAAGCATCTACATCCCATTCTACAAAGACAAATGTAAATTTAAAGTATTGTGAATTGTAAAGCTCTCAATCTCTCTCTCTCTATCTGTTCCTAAAAATATGATGGACAGAACTTTTAGGGTTCAAACTACTAGACATTTGACCTTTCACCTCATAGTTGCTGTAGAGGTGATATATGTAGGTGACAGGAAGTAAAAGCTTACTCATTGGAATTGAAGTGGAAAAGAAAAGGTGAAATTAATAGTCTTCGTACAAATATGGATACAATATAAAGAACTAGACATTTGACCATTTTGATTCAAACTTGGAGGTAAGGCTAAGAGGTCATGGATGTTAGGTCAGTACGCAGCTAGGATAAGGCTGTCCGTAAAATATCAAACTGTTCAGACTGTACTAACTTCTCTGAACTACCTAGATATGACGTCATAATAGAATATGACGTCAAGTCACTGCATACTTTAGCTGACATGACGGGGAAAGTGTCATAATTTGTACATGGTATGTAGATTTATTTTGGGGCCTTGTTGTTTAATTCAAGAGTTAGGATTGTTTTTTAAACTCCAGTGTGCTCTTATAAAGTTGAACATATGTAATTTAAATATCCCTATTCCTTTCGCTTTTCCGACATGCACATATTCAAACATTATAGAAAAATTACGAGTGAAACGCTCCCCTTACACGACTGTAGACAGAGTTAGAATTAAAGAATCATGTTTATATTGGACTGGCACAAGTGATAAACAAAAACAAATTGAAGATATACTGTGTGAATCTACAAGAGAAGTATGTCCTCTAACTGAATTTTGCTGGGGGATTTTATGTAGTTTATCCATTTTTGTATAAATAGCAATAAAGAGTGGAAAATATCCCCTCTTATGTTGGTAAGTTGAATTTTTCATAAAATATTTTCTTAACGAGTAAAAATTAAACCTGCCCCCAGCACTTTCTATGTACCAGAGATCACGATGAATGATCTATATAACAAACTTTGCACAATTTTTGTTTTGCACTTGTGCCGAAGCGATTTTTGTGCAACATTTAGCAATATCATAAATGTCCGTCACGTGATTGACACAGTCATGTGACATCACAAAAATGCTTTATTGTAATACCTGATTAAACTATTATATCAAGTTACTTGCAATTTCAAACAAGGATTACATAGAGAATAATACATACCCTTTTCCATATCACATCCTGTATCAGCCCGAGACACCAATATCAACCAGAGGGCCGAAGGCCCGAGGGCTGATATTGGTCGACAGGATGTGATGTGGAAAAGGGTATGTTTTATTATATTTATTACATACTTGGTAATAAAATACAGCATGCATTAAGTTGAGAAGAAAATAAGTTAGTAACCATACAAGGACTTCTTACATACATGTACATGGTCTATTGTCTCATACAATTTGGGTTTGTTTCTACTTCTATTTCACTGCATTCGATCCATAATTTGAAAATAATCTATTACATGTATTTGTAAATTAAGATAAACCTTATTTTCAAAAAGGTAAAATTAAGAGAATATGAATCTACCAAAAATTGTGTATGATCACAAGTACTGTTTTTGTGGTTTAATTTACTAAGGGTGTGATATTGACGTCACAACAGCCGTATCAGCCCTGCAGGGCTGATATAGGTTATCAGCCCCGCAAATCCATATCAGCCCTGCAGGGCTGATACGGCTATTGTGACGTCAGCCATATCGCATATGCAAAAAACCTGTATTTATTACTAAGTGTGTAATAAATATTGAAATCAAAATCTAGCTCAAAATAAAATGCATATTTTAAGGCATTTTAAGCCTTCGGACAGCCTTATCATAACTGCATAACCCAAAGGCAACAGTTAAATCCCCACTGTGGTCAGTTTGTGTATTGTGTTCAGACAGACAAGGCATTTCATCTGCTTTGTCTCAGTCCACCCAGCTGCAATGGATAGTGGCTTATACTCGGGGTGGGGATAATGTGCAATGAACTGGTATCCCATTCCAGGGGAATCGATAACTCTTATCAACACAGAAACTAGGTACACGTATAAGCATCAACCTTATGAACCTCACGCAGAAGGATTTAACTTTTGGTGGTTGGAGACAGAGAGAAACACACATCTATCTATTAATCTGAGATTCAAAAGTTTTGGTAACATTGCTATACTTACTTGACTCCCTCTCCCCTCTGTTCTCCAATAACCACCTGAACAACAAATTTGTATCTGTCATATCCCAGATCTGAAAGCCATCAAGACTTCATTAAGACTGTTTCTGTGATCTTCTACTATTACTTTTTATATAAACATGTACACGTTTTTAAAACAAACATATAGATCATCCTTAAACATGAGCACAAACGTACTTAATAAAACATCCAGCCTAAATTATATATTCTTCAAACAAGTTCTAATTCATATCAACCTATGTCTGACTTTAACATCAGTTTCATATCATCTAATATCTATCTAAATCTTCATTAGTCTGACACCATCTGATATCTGGAGATCTTTCTGCCTTAACTTTTAATTTTAGTTTGATATCATCTGATGTACCATGTAACTTAAGCTTGATATCATCTGATATCTGTCTCACCTTTTAATTTTAACTTGATATCATCAGAAATCTGTCGAGTCCACTCTGTGGTTTCCTCTGAATCATAACTTTTCCCACTGAGGTGCTCATTCAGTACATTATGTATGGTTTCTTTCACAATCACTGGTCTAAACCTACAATACATTGAAGCAACATATTCTGATTAATTTACACATAAAACAGTTGCATAACACATTGACATCTGTCTTAGTTCTGAACTTCAAAAAAAAAAAAATCAAAGGTGCTTGATGATAGAAATCCCTGTCCATGCAGCACCTTTTGGACTTTTTTCTCATACATTATTGGGGGGAGGGTGCCGTCCTTTGGCATATGTGAAAAAATATTTGGTACAGTACATGTACAAGTAAATTTAATTATCACCTCTTCTGAATTGTTTGTCTTTATATATTTGTAGAATGGTTAGATAAAAGTGAAAGACACTACAACCCCCCCCCTCCCCCCACAATAAAATTAACAAACACTAGACCTCAGAAACATATCTCAGCAAGAGGTTAGTTGTAAATGATATATTGAATTCTGAGTTGTAAGAATTGTGTCAAGTTTATTTTTAACTCTGTGGAGGTGTGTGGCCTTGAGAATTTATCTTGTTTTAATCACCAGCGCCAGGAACAAGATTCCCCATATCAGATACATCTAAAAAACAGATTTACATAGAGTATGCTTGTCTGCATTAATAGAATTATTTTAAATCACCAAAATGATGTAAAATAACAACAAATAACCAGAATGAAATAGAGATATGACTGAGGCTAGTGAAAAGTTTATCCCTTGCATAGGTACACTGGCATCTTTGAGCAAGAAAACATTTGTACAAATTAATTCTACCGCTCCCGGTGGAATGTTGAAACTGTTGAATATCGTGGGCACAAGTAAAGTAGACAACAGTAAAATGAGCTTTAGTACAGCTAGTGTACTCTAATAAACAGTAAACACACTGCCAAACACTAAGAGTATTAACCCTCTCAATTCCATTAATCCACAAGCTCCTGTAACCCAAGTCAGCTGGTAAAATGAAGTAAGAACTGTGATATTCATACAGGGCTACTCAGTACTGCTGAAAGATAAACATAAGAGGAGGTAAAACCTATGTATCACTGACTGATGCCATGCTTTAGGCAGGGGAAAGTATATTGTGAAAAATATTACCAAAGCTTGCAAACTAATAAAGAGTCATGGCAAATCAATTCTTAATGGGTCAACCTGTGGATCTCTGAAATGTTTGTTGAATTCAATTTCTTCTCAAGAGAGAGTCATAAATGATAACTATCATCCATTAAATCTTTAATTAACTAAGGAGAGAGAAACATATAGAAATAATATTACATTAATTAAATGATTAGTTAATACTGCATCTCAATAGCTACTCTTTGTGACTTTCCAACAATCTAAATAAAATCTTAACTTGCACTGCCATGACAGCTCCAAAAGTCATTGACTTTAAAATGAATGTTGGTACTAGGGAACTATGGAGTATGTGTAACTTCATTGAATGTAAAGATGTTGCCTAAAATGTACCACAGAAAGAACTTCCAGCTCCATGTAACAGTCTATCCATTTCTTTAACTAGAGGTACTTTGAGCATTGAGCTCACAAAATGATACCCCTGCCTCCCAAACAATTATAATGGCAATGTCAGTGATTTGCTACATGGGAGACTCTAAACTAATTGTCCTTTCAAAAAGTAAAATAGGCCAGGAGATCATAATGGCAGTATGGCACCATGTAATAAAGAATCTGTGAAGGTCTTATTAAATATAATTCATTCAGTCATGTAAGAGGGGTTGCACATAAGAGACAGGTATCCCAAAGCATAACAGATAAACAGACAGCTAGTATGTAGATGGACACCAGCATCACTAATTCACTTTACAGACCAGCGCATTTCAAGCGGGAGATAAGATAACACCCAGTGAGGTTAATTAATATTCAATTAATAATACATCAAAAGTGTTTTTCAAGCTTGCTGGAAATACATGAGGAGATGCAATTGTTCTGCATCATATACATGTACATTAAACATAAACAAATGATCATATCTCATCCCAGATCATCATGCAGACATCAGATCTGCCATTTCATATATGATGTGTGTCCATCTACTTAAAGAACTCTTATACACAAGAAACAAATCTTTATAATCTCAAACAGGTCTAGATATCTTAAACGACAGGTAATCTTTTCAATTTTAGGCACTGTCAGTCTTTCTTTGACCATCATTGAATCGTTGGCATCATTGATCAAGCACTTGCTCATTATCCACTAGGCCTAGTTCAGTTCCATCTTTTAATGAAAAAAAGAGAGGAATACTAACTTGTGCTGGAAGTTTGGTCGAATGATATATGTATTACTGGTGGTCGTGTCTTCAACAGCCGTGTCAGTCATCTTAAAAACGTGGTGTTACCTCTTCATCAAAACAAGTGAAAATGGAGTCCCTGACAACGTTGCATTGTGGGAGAAACCGGAAGTGCGACCTGTCAACTTTGACCTCACAGGTGTTTTGAAGAAAGAGGAAGGTGTGTTTCTGTGTAGTGTAACGTAAGAAAATATGTTAGAGTGACACATTTAGGGACAAGAAGAAGTAAAGTTAAAAACTATTGGCTATAACCACTGTGCCCAGGATCATTTACTACAGTTCAAGTGAGTTTTTCATTCATTAATTTTACCAGGTGTACGTGTCATCGATTTTCCCGCTACTGTAAGATGACATCGATCTGGTTCTAGGATGCTGTGAATCATTATCTTATTTTTATCAATGAAAACATCTATATTTTAGTTGTCAGAAATTATAAGAAAACCTTTGAAGAATCTAGATTTGAGTATAATTAATATTGCTTGCCTAAAACCTGCCCCAAATCTTGTTGGTGAATCATATAAATTTATAAAAAATAATTAATTTAAAATTCAGTGACCCATTTGCTAATTTTAGCTGAACACAGACTGTTAAAGGGTGGTAAATCTGTTGATTTATAGTTAATCATATAATATTAGCATATTCCTTAATTATAACTAATTCATATTGCCAATCATTTAAAAAAATTAGGCTAATGAAATCAGGTTTATATAAAATCAAATTCAATACATTGAATCATAAGTTATTGAAAGTTAATTTTTGGAATTTCCATGAAAATCAGTTTTCATTGAAAATTCACTTGCACCTCTTGAAAGGGGGACAACTATATATCACTCTCCCCACCTAGCTTATCTTGCTCATAGTCACTGAACAAGGCATGTTACTGATGCCATGTACATCAATTTCTTTTAAACTGTTATATCAAATGTATGTGGGGAGTTTTAAGACATTGAAGTATTGAGGCCCTTAACAACTGCTTTTGAATAACGTAAAGTTTTCAGGTGTTTTCAAGATTCATATTAAATCTAAATCTTTCTCAGGTATTCAGTAAAATTGCTGAAATTAACAAGTTCAAGGTCACAATCTCTTCTCTCACAATTTTATTATACATATATCAACACTAAAATAATTATTTTAATTGTGGCCATGTAATTGGTAATGTTTTGAAGGAAAAAAAATAAATTTTCGTTTTAGAAAATGTTTTCCTTAGATAAAAAAAAAACACAGTTGGACAACGATTCTATAATAAAATGAAATTTATGTACATTTACATACAGGTTTTATGCATCAGTCTCCCGTGGTCTATTTATATACATCATGTCAGTCACCTGTTGTATGTTAATGTCAGTTCAGGTGAAAGCTTTGCTACCTGTGTAGGTGAACCTGGGAATGGTGTCTGGGGCTGCTGCTGGAGATAGAAATCAGCTGTAATGCGTTTCAATCCACCCTGTAATCACATAATGAACTAATAAGTGAATATATAACAAGAAAAACATTAAACATCTACTGTTTGTGTAAAAGTACCAATTTAGCTTAATAAATAATACGTTTAGATGATTTAGTTGGTGGGGAAAGAAGTAGACATAATTTGGAAGCATCATATACTGAGAGAGGGGACTCATCCAGCTACTTCTATATCAACTTTCCTCTGCACAAACAATCAAATAAATCAAGGTTACTTAAATGTAAATAAGACCCCACAAAATTAATTGTGCAAAATACTTATATGTAGTATTTGTGTAAATTAAAGTCCAAGATTTAAGACCACTGACAGTAATTTTATTATTTTATATTTTACATTCCTTGACAATAGAAGGTTCATTCCATTGCACAATAGGACATGTATTTTGTCATACTTATAGTTACTGTATTAAAATTAAAAGTATTTTGGTAAGAGTGGGATAAAATTCAGAGTGGTTACAAAGAGAATGGGGTCACAGTGAAAAGTTTGAAGATGGATAAAGACAGTATCATTAGAATTTATTTTCTCTGGTGAATGATCTGTTCTGTTGTCCTCTCTCATAAATTTGGAGGGGAAATGAACTACTGGTATTCACAAGAAACTGGTTTTACCTACAAAATATGATGTCATCTAAATTAGTCACAGTATTTTTTCCTTGTTTAAGTTACTCCGATATCTATAGGTAAGTGCCCCTTCAAATAAAAGCTTGATGTTGGTAATCTATCTTAAAACTTGCCTTTGAATATTGAATGGCTGGGACATAAGGTGAAAGTATCATAGAATTTTATTAGTTTGGATTGTCTAACAATTTTAGTTGTTACTTAAGGAAGTAGACATGTTGATATTATCAAGATTTACTACTGACAAGAAAGACTGAACAGAACAGAGTTTGGCAGTGTGTCTGTGTGTTTGCTTTTGGATGTAAATGGTGAAGTGGTAAAAGTGTGTAGAATGAATGTCAGAAGTTCAAATCTATGAGTTACTATCTAGTCTTCAGACAAGTTTGAACATGTTGAATATCAGAGGGTAGCATTATCATGTCTTCTTGCTCAATCAGATGTTTGAATGGAATATTGATAAATTCTGAATGTAAGTTTAATTAAAGAAAATGGAAGTTATTCAATTGCATCCTGAATCTATGTGTCTTAATTTCGTATCTTATTTAGAAATTTCTAACCATTAAGTGGCTGAGGCAATTTGATGGAATGTGAAGATAGTTAACGTTTGCGATTGTTTCCCAATTTAACATGGATAAGACAAGTTATACATGTATGTAAACTAAATCTGTGCTGATACATTCAGATCAATGAGATATAAATACAGCCCTATACCAAGGAACTGTAACATGTATTGATAAGGACGTCAGATGTCTAGCGGCGCACAGACTAGGAACCTCTCTGTCTCTAGCCCTACTGAAAATCACCCCAAAATAACACAAACTTTCATGTCCCTCACTGATGTAACAGATCACAATGCATTCCAGATACACCTTCTCTCTTGTCATCTAGTGCAGACATCAACGTTTACAAGACATTTTAAATTTCATTTGTCATCCTCAACTGGAATTGAAGTGTACAAGTTAACTGTGCCTTCAGTTTTGCTCTGTGACTGCTTCCCTCTGGGGGTACTGATCTCTGTGAAGCTTTTTGATCCGCGTTGTTGAGGAGGACTGGATGCTACGCTTGGTTTGTTACCTCTGGAGTCAGTTACCTGTAGTGGCCAACAGAGCGTGGTGGGATGAGTCATCACAACAGTGCAGTCAACATCACTCAGACGACATCATCTAACTCCCGCAAAAATTACGTGCTTCCAGAGAAATTCTTACATTTTATGTTCTGTGCTTATAAGGATGCTAGTACTATCTCTGGATATAAATATATCTCCTTGAATGACCATGTTTTTCTAGAAGTTCTTGATGCTGCAGTTTCATTGATTTTTAAGCAATTCAACAGTGCACACAATGTATGAAGTAAAAAGCATTAAATTGGCAACATTTGTATGGACATTGTAATTTTTTTCTTGGAATTAGCACTATTACAATGAGGGATATAATTTTTATTGGACCAGTGTCACAACTTTGTGTCTTAGTTTGCATTGCTCATTTTTGGAAATTGGGTCATTGTGTTGCAAGGATCAAGGATTAAAACATATGATGCAGACCAAAACCTAACTTCCTGTTGATAACTTTTTTTATTACCATGGCAACAGGGAAAAGAGATGTACATACAGTGAAGTCCAAGTCTTCAAAATCTAAGAAAGCTGGAGGGATACAAGCATCAAAAGTGGAGCATGACATTGATGAATTCCTAGAGAATTTTCGACGGAAGAGTTCCACCTTGGACCAGCCGCTGAGTTCCGACATTCAGGACACCCTGGGACTTCCCCCGCGGAGTTACAGCTCGTCCCAGTGTTCCACGGATGAGTGCACGGACGAGAGCCCAGACCGGTCGTATTTCCCGCCTCCTTCGATGTTCACAAAGGGTCACCATCGCCAACACAGCAGCACCACAAGCGAGTCAGAGTGGGGACCGGACTATGATGAAGAAATATCTAAAGAGGAGATGATTGAGAAACTCAATGCTCGAGTACAGCACTCAAAACAGGCCAAAAAGGCTGAGCAAGGTAATGTCAAAGATTGGACTTAGAAAGGAAGGGGAAATTGAAAAGCAGCACTTGAATGCTTACATATTTGTACTGTCATAAAAGTCTTTAAAGTATTGGAGTGGTCTTGGTTTAGAATTGCTTTTTATGCCCCCGTAAACGAAGTTTCAGGGGTATATAGTTTTTGTCGTGTCCGTCTGTCTCTCTGTCTCTCTGTTTGTCTGTTTGTCCGCAAAACCTTTAACCTTGTCCATAACTTTTGATTTAGTGGAGCTGTAACTTTCATATTTCACTTGTTTATTTCTTGTGACAAGACCTTTCTTTGGGTACCACCAAATTTGACCTTTCGACCATGACCTTGGCCTTTGACCCACTTTAACACAAAAAATTCAAATTTTTACTTTAGCCATAACTATTGAACAGTCAATGCCAGGACATATATACTTCACACATATATTCTTTGTGGCAAGTCCTTTTATAGAATACCACCATCCTTGACCTTTTGACCTTGACCTTGGAGATTTACGTACTAATGAAAAAACTTTAACCTTGGCAATAATTTTTGAACAGAAAGGGCTAGAGCTTTAATACTTCACATATGTAATCCTTGTAAGAAGACGCTTCATTGGATACCAAGAGTTTTGACCTTTTACCTTGACCTTGGAGTTTGACTTCCTTTTAATAAATAAACCTAGACCATACCTTTTAAAGAGTAAGAGCTAGTGCTTTCATACTTTACATATTTAATCATTGTGATAAGACCTTTAATTTGATATCAAGACCTTTGACCCTTTGACCTTGACCATAAAGTTTGACCTACTTTTAAAAAATCTTATCCTTGGCCATAACTTTTGACCGGTTAGGGCTAGAGCTTTCATACTTCACATATGTATTCTTTGTAGCAAGGGCATTTATTAGATACCAATAGTCTTGACCTTTTGACCTTGACCTCGGAGATTTCCGGATTTATGAAAAAACATTAACCATGGCAATAACTTTTGAAAAGTAAGGCCTAGGGCTTTTATCTTTCACATATGTAATTCTGGTGACAAGACCTTTCATTCAAAACCAATAACCTTGACCTTTTGACCTTGATCTTTGAATTTAACGTACTATTAAAATCTTTTTAACCTTGGCCAAAATATTTGAATGGCTAAGGCTAGGGCTTCCATACTTCAGACATGTTATCTTTGTGGAAAGACCTTTCATTGGATACTAATAACCTTGACCTTCTGACCTTCATCTTGAAGATTTGTGTATCTATGAAAAAACTTTAGCCTGGCAATAACTTGGGAACAGATAATAATAGGGCTTTCATGTAATTCCAGTTAGGAGACCCTACTTTGGGTACCAATACATTAAATTTGCATTTAAGAAAAGTTTAATCTTCACTATGTTGCCATACGGGGGCATCAGTGTTTTACAAACACATCTTGTTTAATAATACTTTAAAAATCAAAGTTTGAAGAAAACTGCTGCCTCAAGGGAATTTAATTGCATGATTCATAGAAACAAATGATGCTATACTTTCGATTTTTAAAAGTGAGACAAAAAATAAGTGATTTCTCTTAAAAACTTGGTATTTATTTTTAGCAGGACTGTTTTTACCGATTTTGAAATGCTCACTATAAAAAAGAAGCTATTACAAATAAAATGCAATAAATTTTAATTTAGCAATATTAAATTTTAGTGATCTCAGCACCATCCCTATAATGCCAAAATTAAATATGTGTTAAAAATTCTTCTCAAACGGTATGAATTTTGTGGGACTTTTTTTTTTTTTTACCTTGAAAGCAACAAAAATTGCCCCCTTTCCCTTTCCATTTTAAATATGATGCCACATTTATTGTTATTAGTATTGTCAGTAATTATTGCTAGTCATAATCGTGAATATTTAAATTATTACAAGTACAACAATAATACACAAAAGCCCACTATTGTATACAAGCTAGTGTATATTGTAGTGACCGGCTATTTTTGTTGTTATGGTTAGAATTATCAGACACAACACTGTATATCAGTATATTGTCAACAGCTTGTGCGGCTGATTCAGGAGAGGTCTAGGGAGACCCAGTTATATATTGGTTCGGAGCCTGAACATTAATCCAGTGATTTATTGTTTATCTTTTCCAGGCCTGGAGAGGCTGAATATAAAACGGCAGAGAATTCATACAATGTCTGCTCATTGTCAAGTCTTTTATTATTTAGAATTAGGATTCATTGATCAATAGCCCACACTGGAGTTTTAGATGATAAAAAAAAAATTGAAGTTGATTGTATGTCGATGTTGTTCAATGGAGAAGACAGTTATTAGAGAGTTTAGAGGAGATGGCTAATAGAAATGAGAGAGGAAAACTAGTGCTGATTATAGGTAGTTACTAGTTAGCGGTACATCACATTCAGAGGTTGATAATCTTAAATTAAGTTTTGTTTAAAGAAAAATGTCCTAGTAATGCTTAAGATTTGTTTCATCATATCATTCATTATCGTAGGCACCCTCATCTCTCTCTCTAGGCTGCCATATAATCACATAGATGACCTGTTGCTGTTATTGGTAAATACGTATCATCATCACTTTAAAATGTTTTTAAAATCTGAAATCAATGTAGAGCTTCTGTGGGTATAGGGCTAAAAAGTTGTGAATTTCCATAAAAGTAAGCCCCACTTTCACTTTAGGGATGGAACCAAAATGAGGTTATTTTTTTAAAACTGTGAAATTCATAATCCCAGTCATCCCCCATGTGGCACAATAGTTTCAGCATCTACTCTAGAGGTGTGGAGTAAGGAGATGATCCTTTATACTGCGGGATATGGAGACTGATCATATAAACTCTGGTCCAGTGTTGTAGTAGGAATTGGCAAGCGGTGACCTCTCCATTATACAACATTTGACAACATACAAACAAAACTTAATCCCTGCCTGAGGGATGCAGCCCCAGGGTGAGGATAAAGGCATTTTATTTGATAAAAACACATTTCTGTTTCATCTTTAAATCTTCTCATAAAGGTGGCATGGTAGGATCTAGGAGAAAAAGTTTGGTTGAAGGATTATTTAAATATGTTATAGCTCAAGTCGTGTTCTTACAATGTACCAAGATTAAAGGTGCTGCATTTACCCTGGTTACTGTTAACACCCATGAGCCTCTGGTTAAAGTTTTGCTAAATAATTAAAATTCTTTGATCCTGTTTTCCCCTTGTTAAGAAATATTGTCACAGATTCCTAGACCTGGTCAATACCTCTAATATCTTGTCTCAGCTCCCAGCGCACATTGAAATGTCATGTCAGAAATGTATCTTCAAATGAAAGAAATTAAAATTTAATGAGTTTTCTTTGAACGAGGTTGTATATTGGTTGTCTGGTTTGGAGTTGAGAAAGGTACATATGTAAACACTTCAGTAAACAATTTGTCATGGTTATTCGTGATTGTAAAACCCTGGACCTCTATACCAGAGATAAGCCATTAAATACGTACAGAGATTGTGGGACTTTCCTGAATGAAATCATTGATCAAAAGGTAAATTAGCTAATAATGAGGTTGATCAGGTAAGGTGCTATAAATAGTTACTGACTGGAATTTTCTGTCAGGTGGGTTACTCTTTTTCATACTTGAAGCATTTAATCAAAACATTTCAACTGACTATTCAGGGGAGGCCTTATCCAGAATTTGAAGTATTTAGCAAGTCAATTGATTAGGCCTTCAGGTAGCTCCTTAGTGCAAGTGTCATGGGAGAGGAGAAAATGCAGCAGACCAGACTGGTATTCGAACCCAGGTTGTCCACTGCATCTTTCTCCTCTCCCGTTACATTTGGTGCCGTGCCATGCCCTGGAACTGACAGGTGAAAGACCTGCTAATGAGATGAGCCTGGGTTGGGGTCTTTGGAGGGCCAAAGACCTTTAAGGAGGGAGGAATGTGGCGGTTGACTGGGTTTGATTGCCAGTGGCCAGATAGCTCAGTTGGTCACAAGCACCTGACCAGAGATTCAGGGGGCCAGGGTTCTAATCTTGACCTGGTATGCTGCATTTTTCTCCTCTCCCATTACACAAGCCTGAGATGGTGCCCATGGAGAAGCCACTGGAAGCTTCAGGATTCCAGAGTTAGGGAGGGGGAGAAAGGGAGAGAACTTCACTCCCCAACTCTGTGTCCCAATCTTCTGGATTAATCTAATAATTTCATAAATTTTGAATTGTCAATTTAGGTCAGATTTATAATTTTACATATGAAATCAGGATAACATAGCACTGCGGTGGAGTGATCATAAATTTTATGACCACACAGTATATAATTAACATTAAATACATAAATAGAGGGATTTATGTTTTGCTCTGTTATACTTTTGATTTTGTGTGCAGGATAGTTAAGAAATCCTGATGCACATATTTGATGTAAACATTGTTTACTTTGTAATTATAGCTTTAGACCTGTGAAATCCTCTTCCACCTGCACATTATGAACTATAATAACATTAACGATTATCATTAATTAATATAAATATACATTACATTAATTGTCACTGGTCATCTGCTGTGTTTTAACTCAATATGTAGGTTAATGATGACATTTAAACCTTTTTTATCCTCCGACCAAATTTACACACCTTTGAGCTACCTGTTCGACTTTTACCTGTAAGGTGTAAACACAAATGCTTGTTTTTTGCTGAAGGTGGGATTTTATCAAATATTTGTTTGATGTGGATATATTGTGGTCCATGTTTTCCTTTTGCTTTGGGGTATTCTCTATTAATTGTCAGCTATTTACATCTGTGTTTTTGTATATTCAGCTATCTTGTGTATATATTTTTCACCTGTGTTTTGTACCTGACTACTTTGTATATAGTTACTGTGATGGATTAAGTGTAAGGTATTAATTTCTGGGCCTGGACAAGGAAGATATAATATAGCTATCAAATCTATAATGAAAGAAATAGCAAGAAGGAACAAATATTCATGGACTGTTTTTTCAGGCACATGAATCTATTTACCTGGGCATATACATATTGAGATTTATATATATACAGGTAATGTAATATGCAAGCACATGATGTGAGGATATATATGTATTTAAATGAAGTTTATTTGAATGTGAAAAGATATTCTGGTACTGAGATTTCTAGGGGAATTTTGTATAAAATGTGTTTGCTCATTGGTGGAAATATTAGCATTGCATGAAAAATATTTACGGTAAGCACCCCACACATTGGACATCATAATAATGATGGAGATTTGTATAAAAGGTTTTTTTAATTCTAACTCAGTTGTGATTTTATTTGGACTAATAGTAAGTTTGTGCTGACTCTGATATAAGGACTTCTTCAGCATGTTCAGTGTCAAAGTCATTCTGTAAAATTCTTTCTTGCTGACTCTAAATCTTGTGAAATTCTTTTTTAATGTAATGGAAATTACTCAACAATTTTATAGAAAAATCTACCACGCTTATCAAAATGATAAAAGATTATCTTCTTGTAGATCTCAAAAATAACTTTGATATGTCTTAGCCAGATTTTGGAAATCATTAACTTCATTTTAAAGCTGAGATTATGCTAACTTTGGAGTGTTCCTTGTATTTCATGTACATGTATCAGTATTTGAGACAGCTGTATTTGTGTGTTTTACCCTGACCTTTATGCATTTACTAGCACTATGTAGTTATATCCTAATATGGTATATAATGTGATATCATTGTCTGTTACCTTTCATATGTTTTGGGGGATGGGGGGTGGTGATTGTGGTGGTGGTGATCTACTTAAGTCAAATAAATACAAATTTGAAAAAGAACTACACAGGCCCAAATAATTACACCATTGATTATTTAAGGAATCAGTGTCTAGTTAGTATAGTATGCCAAGGCATCAACGATAGTAGGAAACAAGGGATAATTTGCATAATGGGCAAAGCCTGTTATGCATAAATTATCCCATGTTTCCCACTATCATTGATGTCCCTGGTGTACTATACTAACTGAACAGTGATTTCTTATATTTCCATTTCATTGTGAAATAAAATTGTAGATTTATATTTAAAAATGTAGACCAATAGATTTCAATTACATGAAGCCTACCATGTCAATTTCAATGGTCCTCACCCACTGACGTCAAACACAAAGACAGCCGCGCAGGATTTACATGCAAATTGCCTCCTTCGCCTCAGACACAAAGACAGATGCACATGAGATTTACTTGCATATTAGGCCTCCTTAGCTCCTGACCTATCGATTTGCCTAATTTACATTCCGCTAGAATTATCAAGAAATCAACTCCACTAACTTTCAAAAATCAAATAGTATTTTTATAATGTCATTATCCAAAAAAGGATGTGTGGTTGCAATAAAAATGCATAAAACTATATATTTTTAATCATAATTTGTATTTTCTGTGGTTTTCAGTTTACTGTAAAATTTCACATCAGAATGTTCAATCTTTTAAGGATATCAATTTCATACAAGTGAAAGAGGGGTCGGGGCATCATAAGACATGAAATTATCTTAGGTGACTGATGACCAAAAGATAAACAGAAAATATAACTTAACAGTTTACTACCGACTGGAAGACTGAGACTCAGTATATTTTTATGTAGTTGATAGAATTAAAAAAAAATATATATTTTAAAATATTCTGTTTAATCTAGTCAGTAGTCACTGTGTTAATTATTTGATAGGTTTTCCCACTTCCTCAATAGATTATGTGCACATTGATAGGTTTATTGATTCAAGAAATGTTTAAATAAGAAAACTGTAGAAAGCTTTGCAATTTCCCCGTGGACTTTGATCGTTTTGTGAGTCTGAGTCCCTATAATTCTGATAGGGCTGTCAAGAAACCAGGACCATATTGGGAATACATTTTGTCTATCAGCATCATCGTCTATGACTCAGACATTTATTCACGAGACCTAATTCTGGTAAAGTCGAGTTCCGAGAAAAATAATGAAAAGTACCGTTAGTACAACAGCACCCTGATGTTTGATTTACTTTTGTTGACATATGATTGGTGTTGTTTTATCATATTGATTTACTACTGGTAAATATCTGTAAAGTGCTCTTTTTGCTAAGCTTCCCATTGTGGCTCTATAATTACAAAAGGCCAATATTTCTTCCCTGCTGTCAGTATATGCTTTAAGTTTACACTCCATTTTGTATGTATTGTGTTTCATGTCTCAGACTTCAGCTTTCACCCTGTTTGTCTTGTGGAGTTACAAATAATTTGGCATAGAGGCATAGTACCTGCTTTTTTTGGCATGGTTGGATATTAGAGTTATCTTTAGAGGGACAATTGGTTGATTATGTTGTTTAACATCCCATTGAAGAGTTTTTTGCTCATAATAGAGACATCACCATATACTAGTGAATGGCTTGGAATTTAGACCTGTGCTTGGTACTCAGTATCATGGAGTAGTAGAGGATCTTTATCATGTCAAAGCCTGCATGGACCACAATTTTCAAGGTCCCATTTGAAAGAGTTGCAATTTTAAATTCAAACTGCTAAGTGTTTGGTAAAAAAACAATTGCAACCTTTTTTTTCAATTTATAAGGTCAGTCTCAAGTCTGTGTTTGAACCACATTCAAATCATGGAACAAGGGTTGGAGAGATGATTTAGAAACAAGAGGAGTTAAGCATATAATTATACTTTAGTGTGAAAAGATTTTATATTGTAATGCTGATGAGGAAAGGTGAAATCCTCATGCCAGCTTTTGCTTTGTCAGTAGATCTAGTAAAACACCATAACTTCGGAGAAATTCATGCTTAGTATGTATTCATCTTGTTCCAACAGATGATTATCTCACAACACTAACTCCAATCTATTAATGAACTAACTCCAGCCCTACCCATATCTGTATCAAATCCTCGTCATTCTATCACAAGGCTGAAATGACTTGTAGTCAATACAGAGTTCTTTGATTCAAAGCTATTCTAATTCATAAACTTCTACATTTTAATCTGAGAAAGACATTTTACATTCTTATATAACTAGTACCCTTACTTGACTTCAAAATTCTCTAACAGTATCCGTGAGGCCCCACATGCCAGAATCCTTAGTAACCATTTTATCAGCCTCTAAATTAATTGTGCATGTATGATTACTCTCATGAAATTTAGAGTGGGAGGGATTTAGACAAATGAGTAGTTTGGAGGACCTGAGTGTCTTGGACTCACAGGGTGGGAGTGTTAGGAACTAAGTAGCTTGGACTCACAGGGTGGGAGTGTGAGGAACTGAGTAGCTTGGACTCACAGGGTGGGAGTGTAAGGAGCTGAGTAGCTTGGACTCACAGGATGAGAGTGTTAGAATCTGAATAGCTTGGACTTACAGGGTGGGAGTGTGAGGAACTGAGTAGCTTGGACTCACAGGGTGGGAGTGTAAGGAGCTGAGTAGCTTGGACTCACAGGGTGGGAGTGTAAGGAGCTGAGTAGCTTGGACTCACAGGGTGGCAGTGTGAGGAGCTGAGTAGCTTGGACTCACAGGGTGGGAGTGTGAGGAGCTAAGTAGCTTGGACTCACAGGGTGGCAGTGTGAAGAACTAAGTAGCTTCGACTCATAGGATTGGAGTGTAAGGAACTGAGTAGCTTGGACTCACAGGGTGGGAGTGAAAGGAACTGAGTAGCTTGGACTCACAGGATGGGAGTATAGGAAACTGAGTAGCTTGGACTCACAGGGTGGGAGTATAAAGGAACTGAGTAGCTTGGACTCACAGGATGGGAGTTTAAAGAGCTGAGTATCTGGACTCAGAAGTTGGGAGTGTAATTAACTTAGTAGCTGAAAATTGAATGCGATGTTTTAAAAATTAAGAACCATTGTTCTGTTTACAGAGAGTGACTTGATGGAAGAACAAGAATGTCCCTACAGTGTACTAGATGTAGCCTCCCTCATACAATCTCGATATGCATATATCACAGGTCAGTACAGTATAATTGAAGTGCTTGATGAGTAGGCGGGGTGTATTTAAAATTCCATTTTAAAAATCTTAATATTGTTTCATTTTAAACCCAAAATTATGCTAGAAAAACCCATGTGTATAGTATACTATTGAACTTAGATACAGATTTCTCTTTTCAATTCAGGTGGAAAAGCAAAGAATGGTGCCTTGATTTTGACATTTCCAGAAAATCTTCAGCATCCACAGATACCTGACGAGGAGTACCGAAAGCTTGTCAACTTCCTGTGCTGTGTTCCTACGTAAGTTGTAATGTATTGAATATAGAGCTTTTAAGGATTGAATGAAAAGTGATGTGAAATGTTGTCTTTTGCAGTTTGTTTGGAAAAAAAATCATATTGTTTATTTTAATTGGACAGTTGCATCTAGCCAAAAACAATATAGATAATCATTGATTATTCAGTGAAGCTGTCGTAGCCAAATGTCAGTAATCTGAATGCTTCATCGTCTGGACAAAAATTATTTTGAAAAGAATTTATACATTTACATCTGCATGTATAAGTTACAAAATAGTATGTTTCAGTGATTTGGAGGCAACAATTTGTTCAGAAACACAAGTGTCATGATCCACAAGATTCCAATGTTATTGAACTTGCTGAAAGAAAATCATATTTTTAAAAATAATGACAGAAGATTCACTGCATAAAATTTTAGATCTCTTTCTTATTCCAGGTTGGCTGAATCTGAGCAGGGTTTTGTGATTGTGTTAGACAGAAGACAAGCAAGCTGGAATGATGTCAGGGCACTCTTACTCAAAATGTCGGTCAGTGCTAACCATAAAATGTGTACAACATTAAAAAGATTACTTCTGATTCATTATTTGTGTGTTCAAACTTGTGACAAAAAGTTCAAAGTTTGTGAAAATTCCTGAATGTTTGGCACATGTTTTGTACTTTAAAGAATTCTTCTTGGCAAAAAACAATAATCAAAAGCTCATTTTGCTAATTATTAGCTAATTTTGGAACTCATCTGTTTTCATAATATGAAAACAAAGAAGGCATTTTAATTATTCTGAAAAACTGACACACTGCATAAAACTGTTGTCTAATTCCGAGTTTGTTGTCTTTGGCAGGAATTTAACACACTGCATAAAACTGTTGTCTAATTCTGAGTTTGTTGTCTTTGGCAGGAATTTAACACACTGCATAAAACTGTTGTCTAATTCTGAGTTTGTTGTCTTTGACAGGAATTTTTCCCAAAACACATACAGGTTGTGTTCTTGCTTCAACCAAAGGGATTCTTCCAAAGAGCATTCGCTGACATGAAATCCAAGTTTGTCAAAGAGGAATTAGAATTTAAGGTTAGGTGGCTTAACAAAATTTACTTCTATAAATACAATCATACTTGTACTCTGTCAGACTAGGTTGTTTCTTGAAAGAATTAAATGCATAATTTTTGTTATTAAGTGAGGTACATGAACTTTATTTAGAAATTTTAACATTTTGTAATACTGATGAAGTGCCATTACTTCTTTAATATACCCCCCACTTGAAAAGTGGGAGGGTATATACCGGGGTAGTGATCGGAATGTCCGTCCGTCTGTTGCACTTTAGGGTACCCATCTCTTATCCGCAACTCCTCTTTTACCCACTGAATGAATTTTAATGGGACTTACTTTCTCAAAATCTGTTATGTAGTGCTATTGTGACCTCCTACTTTACTTTTTGATTGGACTTGTACATTGTATTTCAGGTTTCCAGTAGCAAAACATGGACACTGCCATTCTTTCTATAATATTGAGGGGGACCCATTTCTTATCTGCACCTCCTCCTATACCACTAAATAAAATTTAATGATACTTCCACAGATTCTTTATTACATAATGACATTGTGCACCTCCTATTTTACTTTTTGATCTACCACTTATTTTGGGTCTTCTGTAGCAAACATGGATTTTGCAATTATAATCATATGAGAGGCAGGGGTGTCATTTTGTGAGCTCAATGTTCATAGTGCCTCTAGTTTTGTCTTGTTCAAATGTTCTAAAAAAATTTTTTTATTCTTTACGTAAAAATTATTATATTGTGTTTTAGGTTGTGTTATGTAATGAGCCCAGTGAGATGTTAGACTACATCAGTGAGGACCAATTAACCAGCGATGTGGGGGGTAAACTCGAGTTTGACGCCAATGAGTGGACTCAGCACAAATCTGTACGTAACTGTAGGAACATCAAACGTAAATAATTATTATATGAAGTCTAAGAGACAGACAAATTGTACTGATTTTTCCTCAAGAAAGCACTTTTAGTCCTGCATGTTAAAATTTGAGAATGGAAAAGGGATTTTGTTGGTATATGAAGTTACTAGGGGGTAATAATTCTTTAAAGCAGCTCACTGGATGAACGGCCTCATCTCTAGCTGATTAAGCATGCCGGAGTAAATAATGAAGTAAACATAGCATTCAGGAGTGGACCATTTTGCCAATAGCTTAATGTTGGTAATGATTCATTCATGCATAATTGATCAGGTTAATTTTTCAATCTTCATAAGTAATTTACCAACAAATTATACGGACCCTGTGTAATCACGTAATCACTGTAATATTTGATATACAGTATTGTAGCTGAGTCATTCTGTGTGGTGTAGATTACTAATGATACTGATATCTAGATATGGCTGGCCTTCATCTCCCTATATATTTTAAGTTATCACCTGGAAGGGAAGAGCACCTGTTCTCACATTATTACTCTGAATTATTTCATTTAGATAACAGAGATATTTTCTGTAATCTTTGTTTATAAACATCGGACCAGTTGGGGGTACTTGTTGAACTCTTAAGAAGGTGGTGATAAGTGTGAATATATTACCTTACTCTATTTCCTGTGTGTTAATTCAAATCCAGAATTAGATATCTTTTTATATAATATGTACAATTTATTTTGACACAGATAAAGAAAAAAATCAATTAAGATAAATCTGGTTCCTTAACTATAAAATACTTATCTTACTATGCAATCTGATTACATTCTATTTTTGAATTGTATGGTACAAGAGTTCTTGGTACATGATTTTTGGTGTATACAAGTTGATATGAGAGATTTACCAGTATTTATTTTATAAATTAATACCTTTCGTGAAAAAATAGACATATCAGTATCCCCAGAAAACCTCAATTACCAACAACAAAAGATTCATTAAACAGATGTAAATGGAATTAATATAATTTTTAAATTATTTTTTACGTTTATTAATTTCACCAGGCTGTAGAGAAGTTTGCCTCTAACACGGAGAAGATGGGGACAGCGGTACAGGTCTTGGTCAAGAAGTACGAGGAGATCGAGATTCCTAACGATGTCCCGGGGATGGAGAAACTGATACAGGATCACATCCAGGGGCGTAAGGAAATCCTCGATGACCTAGCCTCCACCGTCACCCACGGAGAAACGCTGCTCAGTTGTATCAGGGGGGATAACTCAGAAATCCACTTCACTCAGGCTACACACGTTAGAAGTCTAGAGAAGTAGGTCATAACAGCATTAATCTGCTGCTTTAAGACTTTCAGATGGTATATTGAATTCTATCAAATTGTAATACATGTACATGTATATGAAAAATCTTAAACTCTTTTTTTTAAAATATTCTTGAACAGACTTATAATGACAAAAGATATGTTGTAAACTTATGCATGTATTTTTTGTGAAGTAACTAGAGGAAAGAAAATTCCTATGTTAGTATTTAGGTATTATTTGTGAAACAACAATAGCTTTGGGTGTAAACTCTAAGAGAAGGAATTTTTTTTATTTACAGAGTGAGTTTTAAAGTCAAAAACTGTATATATACCATATAATGGGTAATTTTACATGCTGTGAATTTTAACTAATGTTCACTTGTTCAATAATTTCATCAACAGAAAAATTTTATCAGAAACCACAGCAGTAATATTTTATAACAGAAAAAAGTGTAACAGCTCACATCGGAACTTGTTAGATTCCTCAGAACTGTTTGTTTTTTAACACCTATGTACACATTTTACGTAGTGTGCGAGGGAAAATTTTTAATGTCCAGATAATGACAATTTTTACCATCATCTATATTCTTGCTTCGTTTTGATCGTATTTTTTAAAACTTTGCCATATTTTAAATGGTATAGTGAGACAAAAGTCAATATGCATGTAGACTGAGTATTCAAAGGTGTGAAATGATCCTAGCTTGTAAAATGGACATCTCAAGAACAATCTTGCTTTTACAGAGTGAAAAATTATTATCTTTGACAGGATAAAGTCAATCAATGACTAAAGTATCTATCTGTAATTTAATGATTTGACTGATTACCATAAAAAGGGAAATTTCAATGAAACATCCAGTTACTTTTGATAATGCAGTTAGAGGTATAACGGGTATCCATTGTATATAGTATTTAAAAAGGAAGTCAGTCTGACTATATATTTATATCAATAAGATTGGTTTTACTGAATTTCTGATTTTAATTGTTAGGACATCTTCTGTCATGTTTTGAAGATACAACTTTTGAGCCAATCTTTGTTTAATTGCAGACTTCTGATAAAACTTGAGGAGATTAAGAAAGAGTTTGAAGGATTCTGGGCTCGACACGAGAAGAGACTTAAACAGGCACTGCTTCTACGGCAGTTTGAGGAGGAATTTAAATTAGTAAGTCATTTAGGATACATGGGCCCTACTTTTTTGACAGTTACTTTCATAAGTAATGGAGAAAACTGACACTCTTATAGAGCAGGTTATAAGAATTATTTAATCAAAAATAGATTTTTCATAGAGCAAGTCAAATGATATAAAATATATGTGATTTATGTACTTATGCAGATAGTAAAATTTTTGTTTTTTTAATCAAGATGTTTTTTTCCATTAGTTGATTTTAGGCTCACAATTTCAATTAATTTAAATTGTTAATCCTTTAAAATTTAGCTAGAATCCTTATTTACCCAGTATTATGATTTGATTTTCCAGTACCAGTATAATGTAGAACGTAAGCTGGAATGGCTACAGACCAGAATGTCCCAGTTAGGAGACTCACTGGACAAGGTCGAGGAACTCTTCCAGGAATTCGAGGAGTTTGAGACTGAAGCTCAGGTAAGATTTCAGGCTAACATTCCCAGGTAAAATTCAGGTGAAATTCAGTGTGGATTAGAGGTGGAATCCAGAAGATGGTATGCTGTAGGAGTTAGTGCCCTTTGTACAGAATGCAGTCTATAAAGTAATATGGATAGTTTGCAGTTGTACTGTATAATGGGTTATTTTTATGATAATCAAATTAAAATATAGCTTCTTTGTAAGCATCTTAAAATTGCAAAAAAATTAAGTGTGCATAAATTTGTCACTGATTGTGCACTGTATATAAAACTTAAAACACAATTTTATCACCCAAATGGGACAGTCACAAAAATAGGACTCTCACGTCAAATTAAAACTACCAGTATCGTAACATATTTTCACAAAAAAGTTGTAATACACAGAAAATACTGGTTATATAGTACTCTGTCTTTTAATTAAATTCTTTTGAAAGATTTTTTTTAAGTAAACAAAATTAATTAACTAATTTCTTTGATATAACTTAGTCCAGCAATGGCCCATTCAGGTAGTTTCATACTTAAGGTGAGAAGTTCCCCTGTGAATGAGAAATTTTCTCACCTGTGTTACGTCCTTGGGACTTTAATTAATTCCTGTGAAGGATTTACGTAGTACTCTCTGCCTACCTGTTCACACTGGATTATAGTTTGACTTCTTAATACTTTAATCTAATGGAATCACATGAGAATTTGATGAATAAATACCCAAACATTGACCTGATTTTATCTGCCTGTTAGAGACCAAACTTCTCGGATGTGGAATATTTCTATCCTTATTTGTAGGTCTGTATTACATTCTTTTCACTAATCACAAGAAATTTTTGCTTATTGAGGAATAACATATATAATTGAATGTAAGTGTGATTTTTAATCTATAATAAGTAATCACTAATACCAGCTATTTAATGTGGTGTGTCAAGATTTACATGTATGTATGTTCAGTTTCCCTCCTCTGTAAAAAGGATGCTCAAGTTTATAATTTTTTATCAAGTTTATAACTTTTATAATTTTAGAATGGAACCAGGAAAAATTAATTGAATATACTGAGTTGTCCCACTGATTTTGATATATGACAATTACATGCTGTCACAAAATATGGAAGAAAGAAACATAAAAATGACAGGTTCTAGAATTTGTTGGATAATTTAACAGGTTTTTGTGAATTGAAAAAGAAATGACTAGGAGTAGAGAAAATATGTATGTTTTCCGTTTTCCCTCTATGTAAAAGGGAGTATGAACCAGATAAAAAAACTTGGATTTAAGGACAGACGAGACGTTCCTTAATTAATAATAGATAAATTTTTCAAAGATTTTGTCATTGAAGTATTCCTACTTAAACGTGTTTACTCACAAAAAATTGAGGTACCTTACCAGGCATTTCTGCAAGATACCAGGGGTAGTTTTCCTTATATAATCCTTTTGGGAAGAAAAATAATTTTCCAGTTTTAAATGTTTAAGTGTTTGGATTTTGTAAAAACGTTAAGAAACTGTTTTAGAAATCAGAATGTCATCAAGATTTTGAATATTTTTCATACATTACAAAGATATACAAAACAGATATTGAGGAACGTCTCGTCTGACCTTAAATTTGTTCAATTCTATTTGATAGTTTAGATCAAGGACTGATTAGAATATTTGTCTTTGCTTAAAACCCCTTCCTGTGACTGTGAGTCTGATTTGAATAATTATTGAATCCATGCTTCTGAAAGCAGTCGAGTTTAAATGAAAATTGCTATGTCATTGTTTGGAATTATAGCTGTTTATATGTTAAATATAGTAAAAGAATAGGGAGAGATAAAAGCAACAAAATCAAATGTCAACATCGTTAGAATTAATATTGAAAAAGTCTGTAATATTTCATTTTGGTCCAATTTGTAAAAGGTGCATGCACCTGTCTTCTTTACAAGATTATCTTTTTCTAGCTCAAACTTGCTATCTTATAATCTGTGAATTTTTAGTCCAAAACTTTATTCAGGCTTTAATGAGTTCATGTAATTTTTTTTTTTTACAGATCCTCCTTCATTTTTTGTTTTACACATTAAACTTAAGTGATAGGGAGAACTGTGTGTATATAAGTACCTTGTCAGTAGGAATCTACTTTATCTGTATGTGAGCAGTAGCTAGGTATGGTATCTACCTCTGTAGAGATCACCTGTAGTATTATCAGTCTCCCACCTAACCTACTGAGTCCCTTATCCTCCACGTTCACCCCCCTAATCTGACAGTTTGTGTGATTCGTGACAAGTCAGGATAAACAGCAACTACAAAGTCGTGTTTTCTCCTATCAACATTTCATTATGTGTCATTTTAAGCTCTACTGGTCAGAGACCAGAAGAGCTTATGCGGTAGTAATGCGTCCGGCGTCCGTCCGTCTGTCTGTCCGTCTGTCTGTCTGTCTGTCTGTAAACAATTTTTCAAAATGCTACTCCTCCTACAGATTTGGTCCGATTTCAATATAACTTGGCACACAAGTAGACTACACTAAGATACATAATTCTGTGCATCAGTTTTTGATTTCAATGAACAGTGTTGCCATGGTTACTAAAAATAGAAATTTCTTTGAAATTCTTTCAAAATGCTACTCCTCCTACAGTTTTAGTTCTATTTGAATATAACTTGGCACACAAGTAGACTACACTAAGATACATAATTCTGTGCATCGGTTTTTGATTTCAATGAACGGTGTTGCCGAGGTTACTAAAAATAGAAATTTCTTTGAAATTCTTTCAAAATGCTACTCCTCCTATAGATTTTGTCCAATTTGAATATAACTTGGCACACAAGTAGACTACACTAAGATACATAATTCTGTGCATCAGTTTTTGATTTCAATGAACGGTGTTGCCATGGTTACTAAAAATAGAAATTTCTTTGAAATTCTTTCAAAATGCTACTCCTCCTACAGTTTTGGTCTGATTTCAGTGTAACTTGGCACACAAGTAGACTTCACTAAGATACATAATTCTGTGCATCGGTTTTTGATTTCAATGAACGGTGTTGCCATGGTTAATAAAAATAGAAATTTCTTTGAAATTCTTTCAAAATGCTTCTCCTTCTACAGTTTTGGTTTGATTTCAATATAACTTGGCACACAAGTAGACTACACTAAGATACATAACTCTCTGCATTGGTTTTTGCTTTGATGATTGGCAAGGATCATTTTTCTATGAATTGCTGTTTTTAAAGTTTCAAGTCGCAACTGCTACTTTTCTCTTCCTCTGTTTTAAGTATAAACCAGTAGAGCTACAGTCTCGACAGAGACTTCTGGTTGTCTCTGTTACTACATTTGGTGTGTAGATTAAACTGGTTGTCTCTCCTTGAAGGTTGCCTCCCTTTATCACTCTATATAATCCAGAGTCACAGGAATATAGCTCTGACTCATATTACAACTAACTTTTCAATTCATGGGATCTTCCAAAAAGTATTTTTTCCAATAATTTATTTTCAGGAATGCATGTTTCTAAATCAAAAGTTGCATCAATTTAAGAAAATATGACTTTGAAAATAATTTTTATGGATCTTTTTAATTTACATGAGTCAGAGAAGTTTTTCGTCTTTAAGGACACACTACTACAAACAAAAAAACTGGATACATTTATTGTTGGTACATGTATACATTTCTGGACTTATTTTGGTTGTAACTAACACACTTATCATATATTTCTTCCTTAATGCCATTTCACTCTCGTAAACTGATCGTTGTAATACAATTTTTTATTATTCAAAAATTTTGTATAAAAATGATTTTTTGGCTAAACTTATTCAATTAACTTATTTAACAAAAGTTTGTATCATCTATCCTTAAAATTAAGGAAGATTTAAGTTTTTTAGGTCACCTGAGTAAACTCAGGTGACCTATTGCTATCTGTTTTCGTCCGTCGTCGTTCGTCGTTCGTCGTGCGTTAACATTTGAACATTTTCAGCTTCTTCTCTGCAACCACTGAACCAATTTCAACCAAATTTGGCACAAAGCATCTATGGGTGAAGGGGAACAAAAATTGTGAATTTATGATCCCTGCCCCCCTTGGGCCTGAGGGGTGGGGCCAAAACCACTAAAATTAATGCAATCTTTAAAAATCTTCTTCTTTACTCCTGGACATCAAGCAGTCAAACTGTTTGCATGATTGTAATCAGCAATGGGTCCTCTACCAAAATTGTGAAATTCATGGCCCTGGGGTCAGGGGTTCTAGTGCTAGGGCGGGGCTAAATAAGTAGGTAGTGAAAATGCATTATTTCTTTGAAAATTTTCTTCTCTAGTCCTGGGTATTAAATAAACCAACTAAGTACATAGTTATGATAAGCAAGAGTGCCTCTACCAAAATTGTGAATTTTATGGCCCCAGGGTCAGGGGTTCTTGTTTTAGGGTGGGGCTCTTATGATAATATAGTGAAATGCATGAATTCTTTGAACATCTTATCCTTTGCTCCTGGTTAATATGCTAATGATCTAATTAACATATTTAAGGCCAGGATTTATTTTATTTTCAGTTTTACAAACCCTCCGCTCAAGGTTTTGAATTTTCAGAAAAAAATAAAACAATTTGTTTTCTTTCCGATGTCAAATTTGAGTCGGGATCGAGATTTCAAATTTACGAACTCGCACTTCCGGTTTTACGATGAAACGGCGGGTAAATAAAGCTAGATCTGAGAAGATAGCTTGGTTTAGTGTAAAAATCATTGATAAGAGTGTCATTCAAAATGTTTCACCCGTTCAAAGGACAAATAAAATGCTGACGACTTTGTTGCACAATGACATGCTGGTGAGATAATTATGTATTCGCTTCAAAAGTAACTGTAAATTATTTTCCACCCCCAGGTTTTAAACGGGTGTTGCTAAAACGCGGAACGGAAAATGGAACGGAAAGCAGAACGGAACGGAAAACGGAAAATAAATTTGTCAAACAAATAACATAGATTCAATATAAATCAGATAAAAAAGCAATTTTCTTGTTGTAAAAGTCATTTTCTAATAAAAATTAATTGTGAACTATTATATATTCATGAG